GGGGAGGGGGGGGTGGCTTACAGGGAGATTTCGCCCACGCTTGGGGGCCAGGAACGGCGTGACGCGCGCGGCGCCCACGGGCGGCAACTGGGCGCCCGCCGTCGAGGCCACGCAACCGCCGCGCCGCGGGGATTCAGCCGCCCCGCCGCCCCGGGCCCGCCTCTCGGTGGGCTTGGCGCTGCCGCAGCTGCGAAGCCGACGGCGTGACGTCTTCCCCTTGCCCCATGCAATCTCAAAGTTTCAGAAGGCGTGTGCGAGCCTGCAGCACAGCTGCGGCGCGCACGGCGGCGCGACCCCCACTGCGGCCCCCACCTGCGAAGATGCTGATGGATGCCAGGCTGTAGGCATACCTGCAGGCAGACAAATGGGACGGGGAGGGGGCAGGGTAAGGATGGCATACACCGCATATGATTTCAGTCCCGAAGCTCCTGGCTTGTGGAGCCATCCGGGCTCAAGGGATCGGACGCGAGCTCGGCCGCGCTGGGTGGGGCGGGGGTGCGGGGTGCGGGTGGCCAGACGCCCGCCGTGCGGCCCACATGACACCTTTGGCAGTTGGACGGCAGTTGAAGAGCCCTGCGATGACTGGGGGGTGACAGACGCCCCCCACAACGCCCCCTGCAAGGATTCCAAGCTGCCTGGCACGCGCTCCCCACTTCCTTTCCCCCCATCCCCCGCCCTCGAGCCCCACAGCGCGCCCCGGGGCGCGGCCCCGGCCCCCGGCCTCCTCACTGGCAGGTGGAGGGGTGGTCAGACGTGGCGGCGAAACACGCGTACGTCCACCTCCCGGTGTTGGGCCCGGTGGACGCCACGCTCAGCACCTGCGCCCGGCTCGGGGGGTTGATTCGCATTGTTACAAAAGGCCGGTTCGGCAACGTGAGCAATGCGGCGGGAGAGCAGAGGGTGGGGTCGCGTTGCAGCTGACAACCGATGACATCATCAGGTGACCTCAGATTTGCTGGACGTCCAGAGCCCATTTTGCCACGAGGCGGCAGCAGACGACCTGCGAAGCCCCCTGATAACAATATCCTACTTATGAAATGAAAAAAATCTGACCTGCAGCTGGTTGCTGACGATGCCTATGATGGCGATGGAGCAGGCCAGCTGGAGCAGGGTGAAGGCCAGGTTGAGGCACTGAGGGGTGCGGCCACATGATATTCGGAGAGCGAGGCGCATGGGCGTGGAGGGATCACGTTGGATTGGTGTCACTCTGAGTGGTCATTCAAATCAGGCAGCGCCTTGAGGAGCGGCGGAGGGATCGGTCAAAGGCTGCGTTGGTGGGGCTGGCTGATTGCGTTGCGTCTGCGCAGGTCGCCGACGCCGCTCTTAGGATTTGGTGGCGTTGACGGATGGCCGGCCGACGGCAGGGGTGGTCGGAGCACCACCCGCCCCCCCCCAAAAAAACCTCGCCC